TTTAATAGTAAGTATCCTGATTGTAATATTGTGTCTTCGATAACAACAAATCCAAAAGATTCTTTAAAATTTAGTAAGCGATCCAACAATGGCACCGGCATCGCATATGAATAGATAAAGTGACTATTGCTATTTAATTTAGTCCGATAAATCGTTTGATTCTCGAATGATCTTGATCATACCGCTTCGTTTTACTTTGCTCAGAAAAACGACTGTATTTATATTAAAAAACATGAGGCGCAGGTGGAGTGCTAACCTTTTTTATACTTTTCCATTTTTAATCGTACGTACTACTATATTATTTTCCGGTCCCTGCCCGGAGCGAAGCAATGGACTTTTTGATTTTATTATACTACCGCTACGGACTATGATAAATTATACCACGTGATTATGTCTGCCCGTTCTCTTCATCTGATCTTGCAATTTGCAGAACTGTCTAGTATAAAATATTTGTTTACATTGACTAGGGATTTGGTTTAGATTGCTGCAATTTGAAATGTATAAATATGATGGCTAAGCTAATAAAGAGCACAACTCTTTCTGCTTCGACTTGAACGAAACGATGTTATCAAATGAATGAGTTGCTTAATCACCTCAATAATTTTGGAGTTAAGCAACAATAGTTGAAGAGGCAATTTAGCAATTTAGAAGATAATTTGATATTTGTTTAAGAGCTTGTTTCTTATAAGCGTTGCCGCTAATATTGTTATTTATCAACCTTTTTCTCTTTTCATCTGAAGCCACACGTTACCCATATGTTTGACTATGAAAGATTGTTAGCATTTTATTGGTTTGAAATTTGAGTTTGAAAAATAAATTAAGAAAGGCACCAGGCTCAAAACGACGAAATAACTCTGAATTTCTTTCAAAACAACAATAATGGATTATTCAAGAAAACAATCAACAAACATGAAGTTAAGAGAAGCAAATCTGATATGGCGCAGGACATATAATCGCATCAAAAAATAATTGCTTGCAATAAAGTTTAATAACTTTTTAAAAAAATAATTTTTTTAAAAAAAACTTCCTATATTAATATTCCTTAAAATTTAAAGAATATAGAAATAGAGAGCTTTTTTTAAAAAAAGTTTATTATAACAGTTATTAAGCTTTAAAAATACTATGGCTTTAAAAAATTTCAGCACTATTATGAAAAAATTAAAATTAATTCTAAAAAATTTAACCAATCATATTCATTTTTATAAGTAATGATCTGCAAAATTTGATTTCTTTAGATGTCCTGTACCATAATAAATGGTTTTGAAATCAGAATAAAATCTTTATTCCTGGGTCATGAAATCAGCAGCAAGAAAATAGCTGCCGCTGAGTCAAAGGTAGCTGCTAAAAAGTTTTCAAAACCAAAGAACCTACAAATACTATGAGGTTTTTTTTTTCTTTTCTTCTAAAAGTTAATGCATATAAGCTAGTATTTATCATTTACTATCTAAGTTTACAAGACATGGCATTCGCGATTTTCTAAAATTATTGGCCGGCATTTATGCTTACGAAGTTTTACATAAGTTGAATTTATTGCGATTCTCAAATTTAATTATTTTACATCTTTTCGAATTGAACTTAAACAGCAAAAAACAAAGAATAATCTTCATCTTTTGGGCCTAAGTGAAAGAAAATATATATATATATATGTTTTTTTGTATCCGTAGATATATTCTCGGGACGCCATAAGGCGTTTTATAGAAATGTTTCTTAAAAGAATAAGTCGAACAAGCGACAGAACAAAAAACCAACTTATAAAAGTAAAAAAGATGAGAGCATTTAAATTTTATATGATGGGTGTATTAAGTTAGTTTGATTTCTCTGAAGTAAATGATAAAGCCTTTGTTCTTAAATTAGAATATTAAATAAAAATTTTTATTCTTCACATATCTTTAAACAATTACAATATTACTAGTTATTGCTTTTTTTAAGTTAGTGAAGTTCTAGTTCTTGCATTACAAATCATAAAAATTGATTACAACAACATAAAATCATTATGATTAGCACAATAATTCGTCAATTACTTGATTTATTTATTTTCGCACACAGAAAAAATTAACCAAATACAAAAAACGCAATACACAATGATCTAATTGATTACTTTAGCTGCTTGGCTTCGATAATTGCCACACTAATCTAGAATATCATCAAGGTAATTGGACCCCACAAAAATCATCCTTGATAGTTCCAATTGCAAACTACATATATAAAAATTATTGTAACTTATACACATATTAATGACATTTAAGTAATTTTAATTTCCTTCGATACTTACGATATCAGTAGCGTCAAACCTTGTCCCAACAATCTTTATCCTTACATGATACCCTTTTTCAATTGACTGAAACAAACATCATTAGCATATCATTAAAATTCTAAAGATAAAATATATTTGCAAAGTTACATACTGAGCCATCCTCTGCATGATATGCTGGAGGGTTTTTTGAGGCATCAAATTTTAAATCTGAAGGGATTAACTGTATACCAAATTATATAATTACATTTTAATGCAGTTTGAATAGAATATATTATTAATCGTATGATCTGGTGAAATTGAAACCTACGTGACTCGAGACGAATACTTGTAACGGACCAACATCAGCAAAAAAAACCCATCTTATGAAATATGATGTTATAAAAGAGTAATACAAATGGAATGATAAATCTCTAAAATATATATAACTTACCTTATTGACTTGACTTACTACTCCGTCTACGACTTCTCCTTTAAAAGGTTTGAATACAACAGCTCTATACTTTACTTCAAATTCTGCCAAACCGATAGACGGTATAACTTTTCCTTTTGAAATATCCAATGATTCCATGCTATCCAGTACAGCAATGATATAACCGTATCTTCCAGTGCAAGTACCTTCAACATCTGCGTATAATTTCTCAGCAAGAAATGTTTGATAATTTTGAGTAAAGTAAGAAGGATGAAGTTGGATTGTGTGGGTTAACTTTTTCTGTTGGATAAAGTAAAGTTTAAACTAGTTAAATAAAAGTAATCATTTCAGAACTAGAATTTCTTGCAATGTTCTTGCTTACAATAAAAAACATTCTGCTTGTTTACACTAAATTAAGATAGTCTAATTCCCACGATTAAAACCGTCACATCATTGTAGATCCGTTACACAATTCATGGATATGTTATAAAACTTTAAAAAAGGTCATCAAATTATCCGATCAAAGTTTTGACATCAATGCGTTTCTTTTTGATAGACGTAAACCTTTGATCGAAAATATCTCGACGTCCACCTGACCAAATTTGAAAATTCTACATGTTTCTACAATTATTGAATTAAAATAAATCAAATTTGACTAGTTGGGTGTCGAGATTACCAATTTCACCGATAATGGTGAAATTATTTTCATCATTCTAATTTATTTCACAGGCTTGAAAGGAAGTAAACTGCCAAATACAAAATGTTGCACAATTGGAAATTTTTTAAGAACCTCCGCTATATACATCTTCATCAGACCTGAATTAACTTTGGTCCAATTTGGTACTTGAGATATATCATAAAGTAAAGGAGAATGCTCATGGAAGGTCCTTTTTAACCCGTGATGATAATATTTGCTTAAATTGATGCTATCGAAATCAAGTGTCGTAGCTCACCCACAAAAAATTTTACCCCCCTCGTGATTTTTATCCAATTGGGATAGGGGTTAGAGATTAGGGTTAGGGGTTAGATTCATTGTTGATAAATCTTTCTAAATTATGTTCCGGTTTCTGATTCCTCACATACAAGGGTTTATAGATTTCATTGTAAAAAAAAATCCGCTATTTATCGTTATGTCATCTTGTAATTGTTAAATCCGGGGTCCTTAATTTAGACCCAATTCCGCAAATTCGCCGATATGAAACATTTAATCGTGTTCATATTAATCGTTTAATTGTTTAACCACGAACCCTAACCAACCTCATGAATCGATTTCAATATTCAATCTAAATTTGGTGAGTTGTACGTGGCAATTTTTTTAAAAAAATAAGTTATATTTAAAAAATGTCACTGCAAAATGCATTATAAAAACAAAAACAAGCATTGAAATATTATAAACACTAAAATTAATAAATAATATATACTGTATATGTTAATCATATTTTATATTTAATTGAATCTCCAATTCTCACACGACATCGTAATGGATATCACATCTTTTTGCAACGCGCAATAACGATAATGTAACATAAAACCTGTGTGGAATTCTAAATTAACTCAATTAAACATTAGGGTTAGAATTGATTCACATGTTTATTATCGTTATAGCTCGCATTCATAAAAAAATTTATACAGTTATGTCTTCGTATTTCAAATGTTCGATCATATTTTCACGAAATTATCCAATCAACATAAAAGCCCGCTACATTGATGACACCCAATCAGGATTGGTCACTATTGATTATAAAAGTTTTAAATAATTACAATCAGTAGTTTAAATCGTGCTCGATTGATTACTATTGATTAAACAGTTTATAATTAGTAAAACACCTAAATTATTTTACCTGTGACGGTTAAATAAACGAAACACCTTTGTTATGCATTCCATATTTTCTTTACAAGTTCAGTCATTCCTACATCATTTGTGTTAAATTCATAACAGCCATAGAGTACAATAAGTGTAGCACCTCTTAAACCCCAAGTTAAAACCTTATTTGAACCCGGGCTGCGATGAGGCGGACAATAATCAGTAATCATTGCATCAAATCCAATATGGCAATGAAATGGGAGAATGACACCGAAACAAAGATCAGTAATAGGATGAGCTCCTTTTGCAACTGATGCGATAGTAAGGGGAATCAAAGTGATAGACAAAAGTCGTTCAAAATCCCAATGATATGATCCTGCAACTTTGTCTTTTGGAGGAAGTACGACTGCTTCATTTACTGTGCCTTTTATATACTCTACAATTATCGAATATATTAGTAACTATTTTAAGGATTATAATTTTTTTTTTAATGTCAAAGAAAAATGTAGCTTATTCACCTGCACCATTGTTATTAGGTGAAGCAATGCGAAAACCCCGGTGAAAAGTGAAGCCACTGGCAAAAGGCGAAAGGTGAAGCCCCCGGCGAAAGACTAGACCCCTGGAGAAAGGCAATATCCCGAAGCTCTAATTAAAACAAAAAAACAGAACTATGTTATTTAACACGATAACCGCTAGACACAAATGTAACTTATATACCATGCTGCTAAAAAAAAAAACTAAATTAAAAGTTTTTTTTTATCATATAGATATCAGTTTTTTATCGTATCAATCACAATGTTTGTCACGCAGATTATGGGTGTATTATTTGGGAATCCGCCCGATTCAGCCGGGTTCAGAATTTCTATATGGGGTACCCGGAAACCTCCCAGCATAACAACCACGATCAGTTGTTTAAAATCTGAGATTTTACTTAACCGGATCTCAAAAACTTTAATATAAAATTTTTATTGTGTCAAGAAAAAGTGCTTATTCGAAATTTATTCGATAAATAATTTACATACACATATTATATCGTAAATTTTTATTGTGTCAAGTGTTTATTCGAAATTAATTTGGTAAACTTTTTATTACCTAACTTACATACTATCGCTATACTGTATCATAAAATGTTCATGAAATTTAAGTTTACCAACAAAAAGGATTTTATTTCGTGTGTTCCTGGTTCTTGGAAGGTTTTCCATTTAGTTCAGATTCTTTATGTCATATATCATTTTTTGGAATTCAATCGATACAAATTTCTTTACCATTTTTTTGAAGTTGATAATCGGATTCCATTAATTAGATTTTTATGAATACAGTAGCAATAAACCAGTCGACAAATTCATATTCTTATTTAACTTTAATAACTGCATTTTGTTCATGTAATATATTTGTTATAAAAGTCTAATTTAT